ATTTCAAACGCGTAGATAAGCGTATTTCAAGAACAAGAATGCGTTTCATAACTTCTTTGAAGTTATTACGATCGTCGCATTGTCGTCCTTGCTAGGACATTCGATACTGCCACAGATCTAGGAGTGAAGTAAAACGGTATTTTCGCGTTTACTGATTCTTATAGTCTGAAAATACTTATTCAAGTTCAAATATATAGCGGCATTTGTATATTAAAAATATTACTAAACTTCTTGTAAACGTTAGTTTCTCAATATTACGCTATAAAATAATTGTAAGCTATAAGAAATATATAATGTGTAATCATAAATATTTTCAACTATACATAATATTTTGTTAAATGTTCCTTAATAAATTTAAGATATAATTATGAAATGTATTAAATACATTTCAGAAAAATTAATCTCTTTTATTTTGAATCGCCATAGTTAAATTATTTTTGTTAACTTCGGTACATGTATCAGCCGCGGGTGAGGTTGGGCCTAGTATAGTATATATTATTTAGGGCATGGGGACATAGTCTACAATATATTTACATATTTTGTCAAGCTCGTGACCAACCAGCTCAGGGGAGTCATGACCCCCCCCCTCCTCGATCCGCCCTTGCATGGGGATTGCACAGGCAATAATCAATTAGCACCCCTTATGCGTGACACGGGGAAATAAAACGATCTAAAGCTGGTTAAGAATCCTTTATTGTATCACTTTATATTTCTTCTTAATTGCTAACCCAACATGATCCTACAGGGAATACATTTGTGTGAAACATCACTTGCCAATAATTTTAAATCCTAGGCAATAGTTTTGCAGATTCTTACCTTTATTCCACTGATTACGCAATCTCCTACGATCATGCACAAGCTCTACTTACCCATGGTTGTTAAGACAATCGTCAATTATTTTAGAATATAACTTGCTTCTTACTAATAAATGCGAAATATTAGATGGAAAGATGGATGTTAGAGTTTGTAGCCTAAACTGCTAAACGGATTACGATGAAATTTGGCATAGATGTAGAGGATAGTCTGCAAGAACACATAGGCTACTTTGACCCGGGAAATTGTTAAGATTCCTGGGAAACATTAATTTAATTTTTTCCCGTTCACTCGAAATTCTGCAAAGATCAAATATCTTATTAAAATGTGGCACAAATAAAAAAACAAAGTCGTATACACATGTGGTATACGAATTATGCTCGAAAAAAGGTTTCCGTGGGATGCATAGATTTTTGTTTTGCACAATTCATGTTTTTTTTTAATACTGCGCAGACGAAGTCGAGGAAAATAGCTATATTCTATATTTCTGATTCAGTGCTTTTTAAACCATAAAGGATCGAGAAAGAGGAAGTATAAAATGGCAAGTGAAATAACCGTCTATTGAAAATAACATTTAATCGAACAAGAATCTATAAAATATGATTAAACTACACCATATTAATTACAACATTAGAGTCAAAGTACACTTAGTAAATAAATAGGCAATAGTAAAAATAAAATCTTATCAACATCTTATCTTATACTATTTTACTTAGATCTATCTGCACTGGTAAGTCACTTTCCTTTTCGATTTTAACTTCCTTTGAGAAAGTCTTCTTTAATAACATATTGATGGCGGCTTCCTCTGAAAAAAGAAAAATATTATCAAAATTACAATAAAACATATTATAAAAGATATATAGATGAAAACGAATGAAGAAGAATTCACCTGTGACTTGTATAGCCAACAGCTGGTGCACTATGTGCCGTGCTGTTATCTTAAACAAGTCTCGACTACTAATTTTTTTTTTCTTATAATAAGGCATAAGTAGTTTAACAACCAGGCCGGCTACGTCCACTTTTTCAGATTTCTTAGGTTCTTTTACATGTGTTGATATTTTTTCTGGGTGTTTTTCACTATCTTTTTTCTCTTTTTCATTTTTGTTCTCTTCTTTTTTTGGTTTTTCCATATGCTTTTCTTTGTGTTCTTTGTTAGAACTTGATTTATGTCTGTGCCTGTGTTTGTCTTTATGTTTATCTGCATGTTTATCCTTTAATTTTTCTTTAATTGTTGGTGATTTAGGTTCATTGTCTTTAGTTGGTTGTATAACTTCAGGAACAATGCTTTCAACAGGTGGTGGTTCCGGTGGCATTTCAGAAAATTGTTTCAATTCCATTAAAACTTTATCCGCTTCAATGCTAAGTTTATGTGCTTTGAAAAGCTTTGTGTCGTCCGTTTTAGCTGATGAAGGATCTGCTATTTTTGGTTCTTTATCCGGTTTGTCTGGACTTTCTCCATCTCCGTTGCTCGAATTAACGGAATCATCATTACTCGTTCCGTTATCGGGTTCATTTTGTGGTGAAATATTATTTTTATTACATATATTGTCAGTAGATTTTGTCATTTCATAACTATTATCTTGAGATTCCATCTGATCATCAATAACTAGTTCTTTTTCAGAACCACTATTAGATAAGTCTCCAAATACATCAGAATCTTTTAATACCGATTTATTTTCTGATTTGATAGCTTTATCTACTGACGCCTCACTTAGCTTACGTTTTTTCTCCTTAGATGATTTATGATGTTTATGTTTTACTTTAGTTTTGTGCTTCTCGCTTTTTTTCTCTTCCACTTCACTGTCGGAAGATTCTCCAAATAATGCTTTTATTTTTCGTTTAGCTGTAGGTTTGATCTTACTTGGTGATTTTGATTCCTTAACTGCATCTTTGTTCTCGTTTTGAATGCCTTTCTTTTTATCTTTTTGATCAACATTGCTATCTTTTGGAGAGTTTTTACTGGACACACCTTCCAAAGTTATATTTATTACAAAAGTTTTTGATATGCTTTTTGTTGCTTTATTTTCGTTTTTATACTTAATGTCCTCTGTACTTCCGTCAATGGTTGTTTCGTTATTCGTTTCATCTATCTTCATGGTTGTATCGTTGTGGTTATTTTTAGGATTCTCGTCTATTATTAAAGTATTTTCATCTTCGCTTTCATCAGAGGCAGGTGTGGATACATCATTTGAAGCAATTTGTGTGAAAAAATTTTGCAGCTTAGTTTGAGTTAATGGATCTTTTTTGAAAGAATTGGCTTTTCTTTTACTTTCTCTGTCGGCTTTAGATAAATGTCTGCTACCGCTTTTCTCACCCATATTTGCTACAAAAATAGAATAAAATGACATTGGTAATGGTATAAAAGATATATATGTGTGTTTTTATCTGTTATAATGATGTATGTATAGAAATATAGTCCTAAGTTTAACTTACCACTTTCTAGCTGACTTGCAGTCATAAAACCGTATTGAGCTTGTTTCTTCGCTTCGAAGTCTCGAACGAAATCCCCGAGCGTCTCTCCCATGCGGGGCTCGAATTTCTTTAACCGAGGAAATAAGTGCTCCGTACAAGCTTTCACTGATGAAATCTAAAATTAAATTAATATAAAACAAAAAAGATATCGTTTAAGCTTCAATACTTTTTTTTGGTGTTTCGGCAGTAGAAACAAGTTCATAGTAACTGTCTTACCAATTTGATCATGGCCCTTCTATAAAGACTTATGACGGTACTATTAGAGAAGGCCTCGTACTCCAGGTCTATGGCGCACTGCTCCACATCTTTACGTTTCAAAGGCTTCTCCGGTTCGTCGACATCCTTCATGCTGGCCAAATTGTTGTTCAGAGCTTCTAGCAAGAGGGAGAGGTAGCTGTCTCGACTCGCTACCGTCAGACCATTCACCTACAAATATATGGAAATAACAAATCAGTTCGACTCGAATGATGCATTTTCTAGCATTAACTAATGTACTAGTTATTTATGTAATGTGGTAAGTACAAGTAAGCAATTAGGTTGTTAGTAACGCAGTTTATTGTATATCAGATTCTTTATCTCGTTTTTTATTTTATATTAGACCCACGTCTTTTATTTGGTTCGCAATTTATCTGTGTTTAAGGGAGACTAAAGGCCTGTCCCACCACTAGCTGATAGAGGCTCAGATTATTCACAGTTTAGTACTATGGTATTAGTGTAAGCAATGTTAAAATTGATTTACTTTTGTGGCGGTATTCTCAGCAGCCCTGCACTTAGAGTTGACGGCGCTGACGGCGTCGCTGGCCTGCCGATCTACTTCCGTGATGCGCTTCTTCCTCTCTGCGAACTCCTTGAGTATGAGCGACTTCGTCTCCTCGCCCACGCGCCGACTGTCGCCGTCGGAGCCCTCGCTCTCCCCGTCGTAGTACGACTCCATATCTCTGTAGACAAATATTATTTACATCGCAAATATTAATTACCTACACATAAAAAAGTATAAAAAAGTTATAAATCAACTATTTAATGTACTGTTTCTGGAACGCGGATTACATCAGAGTAATTATTGAAAGATAAACCATGAAATGTTAAACATTACTCGTATTACTTAAAAAATACTATAACTTAAAAATATTTTGTGTAAGAAATATCTGTTTTATTGAGAACAAAATAGTGTATTGTACATATAGGGAAAAAATTCGTGGGTGGGAATGTTTTACTGTTCTGTGCTACATACACGTTTTTCCCCTACCTGGATGAAAATTTTGACCCCATATTTTTCTGTGCATCTCCTTGTAATAAAAGCTTTAATAAACATCGGTTGCTAGGTTACCGCGAGATAAAGTGACGAAGACGTTTGCGTGTCAACAAGAGATAATTGAACACTTTTGTCATTCCTGCCAGCGTTTAAAACCAAACTTTTATTCAGTTGGGAAAAAACTTACATAAAAAAAGGATTTACACTACAGAGTTTTTGTAGCAAAAAAAATAGTCATATTTTTAGATACAACATAAGTACAGGAAAAATGCTAAATTTCTTTTATTCGTTGTTCATCTCACTGGACATTATTGATTTAGGACAGGGGTAGCGAACATGCGTGCCAGTGGTTCGCCACCACTGAATAAGGGGTTATCCTGTGTAATATTGTCTCTATAATAAATTGTAGAATGCTAGCGACCTGAGTCCCAGACGTCCGTTGCCGTAGAGGTCCTGCGCGTCGCGCGCGTCGTGCGCGTCGTGCGCGATGAAGCCGGCGCGCTGCAGGCTGGCGCTCATGGCGCGGCGCTGGTGCTGGTCGAGCGCGCGGCGCACGGCGCGCTCGTCGCGGCACACGTCGCAGCGCGCCTCGCAGCGCGGCGCCTCCTCGCCGAAGTACTCCGCGAACCGCTTGTGACGACATCTAACACGATCATCACACGTTTCATGTCTCCTATATCTATACTAATATTAAGGAAATATTTCGATTTTTTTTATGTATTGCAATAAATCAATAACTACTAGGCCGATTTCAAAAATTCTATCACCACTAAAAAGCTACGTTATTGCTGAAAAATATAAACTATGTTTTTTACTATTTTTTATTTCACGTGGACGAAGTCGCGAGTAACAGCTAGTTTTAAATATTATGTCGTCTTGGTAAAACAGTTTTATTAAATGTTTATTTGGTAAATGGATTAAAAAATGGCATACGAAATTACCATAACAATTTAGTATACAAGATAACAAATCAAGGTTAGAGAACTGGATGTGTGACAATAAACTAAGCATTTGATAAACAACTTACTTAACTTCCTCGCAATATTTCACCATAATTTCAAAGCTCTTGTAGGCATTTTTGCAGCGTTGTTTCTGTTCGGGAGTGCGAGCGCGCGCCATCTCCGCTTTAAGAAGAAAGTCGACTGCGTTTCTTTCCCTTCCGCAATAATAAATTCGACAAAACGCTGGTTTACCATCGCGGCCGGCGCGACCTGATTCCTAGAATTATTCCAATACAACTGTAATTATAAAGCTAATATTATTTATGTAATAATTTAACGACGTAATAATATAATCCCATGTAACAAGAAGGTGGAGGTACACCGTTAGAGGTAGACCTAGAAAGAGATGGATGGATTGCATGAAAAGTGACATGATCAAGAAGGGAGTGGAGACATATGATAGAGTTATTTGAGGCGGGGGCCTGGTGATCCACTACACAGGGACCACCCTAGTTAGGACACCAGTCCCTTGCCCAAGGGGAAATTAATAAACTATTTTTTTTTTTTATTTGGAGGACGATAAATAAGGTTAGGGAGATGATGATGGTAATAATTTAGTGAATATGATGCATACCTGGTAGTAAGCAGCGACGTTTTGCGCGAGGCCCCAGTGTGCGACGGCGCGCACGGTGGCCTTGTCCACACCCATACCGAACGATAGCGTCGCGCACACGCACGGACACTCGCCACCGGACCATCGCTCTTGTACTGATATGCGCTCTGATGCCTTCATTCCTATCACACATTGTCACTTCTAAATAAATAAACATTTTATTGCCATCAAGATAAAAGTACAATACATAGTGATAGATATATTAGTATATTTTACTAGCTTTTATTACACTTTCATTTATGAACTTCAAAGTCAATCATATTTCTTTGATGAAAAAATTAGTTATTGATTTTAGTAAAACCATAGAATAAACAGTAAAATTTGAATATCCAATACCTCCATGATATGACAGTGAGTTAAGACCCCTTTTATTCAACATATGAGCTAATTCCTCAGTTTGTTCGCGAGTTCTACAGTAGACTATAACTGCATTTTTGTCTTTCTGTAAGTAAAGAATTTGTTAAGCAATACAGCAAAACAGAGGCAACAAGTACAGCATAAATTACTTACAGGCTTAACAATGTCATCTTCCTTTAAACTTTTCTTTAGAAATTCACATAAGTCACCGATTTCATCTTCAATACAATTTTGATATATCACATCATAGTACAGATTTTTCCGGAAACTTGGTGTTTTGTATTGTGCGACAGGTTGCAATAATTTCAGATTGGAGAGGATATCTTTAGCAACTTCGGCACTAGCGGTTGCAGTAAGAGCTACCCATGGTATACTCCTATACATTTCTCTTAAATCACCCAATTTTAAATAATCAGGTCGAAAATCATGCCCCCACTCACTGACACAGTGAGCCTCATCAACAACTACATAAGAAACTTTTTTATACTTGACTAGATGTTCTATTAGGCTTTTAAATGTGCCTGTAGCAGCTTGTTCAGGGGTTACATACAAAAATCTAGTATTAGGTCTCATGCTTCTAAGATCGTTGATAACCCTCTCTCTATCTTTTGTGCTCATTTTTGAGTTTATTGATTCAGCCTGTATTTTAATTTTTGTCAAGTGATCAATCTGATCTTTGATGAGTGCCAGTAATGGTGAGAATACAATAGCCACCTTATTATCCTGCAGCATTGCAGGCAATTGGAAGCACAGGGACTTTCCAGAGCCCGTTGGCATTGAAACATAAACATCATGGACACCTTAAAATAATTTAATAATAAATCTGTAGATATATATATATCACAAGGAATTTTTTTATTTGAGACTGATTAGAACTTGTTTCTTTTTATATTTAACATCAACATTTAAAACAGAATCCAAATATTGAACAATTAAATAAAATTGAATACGTATATATAAATTATACGTTTGAAAAACATCAACATTATTACATTATCACGTCAATAAATTTAAAAAATAAAGTTGTGTCTCAAAATAGTGTTTACAAAATTAAGGCAAATAATTTTGTAATTGTGGTAGCACTATTATTATACTGCCAAATTAAATGTGTCACATCGTTTGTCAAATTTGTGCATTTTTACCGTTCAATTCAATTTGGATCTTTACATCTCGAACTAAAATGTAATTTGCGTTATATTGTACAATTACCTCTTGCTATAGCTCTAACAGCACGTTCTTGAAGTTCACTTTTGAATTTTCGGTGACCAAAACATTCCAATAGCTTTTCAGTTACGTTATCCATCACGAAACTTGTTACTGTGGCATTTCAGGTATTCTCTCTTTTTTAAAGTCCTTTAACCTGCATATAACATTCATATTGTAGCACATACTGTTCAATTCACTAAATTACAACTTTTATATTTTGCGACAATAACATTAAAACAACCTCAAAACAGACTTTTCTATTATAAAATTTTGTCTTTGACATTTCGTGAACCTAAACCTAATTTTGTTGTAAATGTCAAGTGTGAACATTATACCAACATTAAAATATAAGATATCCTAAAAATGTTTCATTCATTTTTCAAGAAAGAGCACATTTGTTTTTAAAAATACTAGGTGTTTTTGCCCACTTAACAAGTAACGTTAAAATCATTACAGAAGCTCTGCACGATTGCAATATGAGTAAACGTAAAAATCCATGCGAATCTAGAAATCCAAATGCACAATTTTGTGATTTTTTAATGGAATTGGCGGAGTACGAGAAAAATGTTAGTCGCAACATACATAAGTACAATGCTTACAAGAAAGCGGCGGGTGTTTTGGCTGCGCAGTCCAGAAAAATTCAATCTGGTGAAGAAGCAAAAAAACTTGATGGCATAGGAGATAAAATTTCTAAAAAAATCGATGAGTATATTCAGACAGGAAAATTGAGAAAAATTGAGAATATACATCATGATGAAAAGGCTCAGGCAATTAGTATGCTCACACGAATATCTGGAGTGGGTCCTGTCAAGGCTGCAGAATTGGTAAAAGACGGTATTGTTACAGTTGAAGATCTAAAGAGAAGTAAACATTTGTTAAATCATCATCAGCTGCTCGGATTAAAGTTAGTGTGTAATGTATTGTAAAGTTCAAACTTTATATTGGCTCCGTTAACCGCGTAGGTGGTCCCAATGCGAGTACAGGAAACGGGTGTACCCCAATCCGCTATACCTTTACCATCATCATTGTTGTAAGCCCGAGCCACCATAAAATTTGGATAGAGCTGCATTTTCATTGTTAATTTGCTTGTATCGAAGTTTTGTTTTATCGTTTTCAGATACTTCGAAGACTTTGAAAAGAAAATTCCGCGCACTGAAATAAAAGCCATAGAAAATAAATTAAAGGCACTCGTGTTTGACTTAGATAGTAATTTTACAATAACAATATGCGGAAGTTTCCGGTAAAATAATTTGCAAATATGATTAATGAAAAAATAAATTGTAATATACTGATACGCCTGATCTTGGATGTTTTTGTCGGCCGGGTGAATTATGCAACGCTTACCAAGGATCTACTAAAGTTGTACGCTGCGCAGAATTTTTATTAATTTCATATTGGTTTATCGTTGCAGACGGGGAAAACCAGAAAGCGGTGATATAGATGTTTTAGCGACTCATCCGTCTTTAAAACTTGGAGAAACAAAGCAAAAGCACGGCGAAACAATGTTAAAAAGATTAGTTGATTACTTGAAAGGTCTTGTTATCGACGTTATATCTATGGGAGATACAAAATTTATGGTAAACAGTCTTCGGGTACTTAAGGTAGAGATGTATTTGATAATAAAATTTCCTCATTTTTATTTCCTGACCAGGGCGTCTGTCGCCTTTCTGAAGACTTACCGGCCCGACGTCTGGATATACGGCTTATTCCGTGCGATCAGTACCATTGCGCTATCTTGTACTTCACAGGCAGCGATGTCTTCAACAAGACAATGCGAACACATGCATTGGAAAAGGGTTTCACCCTCAATGAATATTATTTGAGGCCTATCGGTTCAACTGGTGAGATGTCTAACGGTTTTGTTATACAAATTTTCTGACTATGGACACTCACAACCACGTTTGTCTGCATTAACAGGAGTTCCCGGCGAACCTGTACCGATCACGTGTGAGGAAGATATCTTCGACTACATCGAGTACCCGTACAAGAAACCAGAAGAACGTAATTTGTAGGGATCACAAATAAAAAACAACATTGCCGTCGTCATATTTATTCTTAGAATCGACATATAATAAGGCTTACAATATCACAAGACTTCAAATTCTCAAGATATGCTAATAATATTTAATAAAACTTTATAAAATTGACAACAGGTGCTTAGTTCAAAAACAACATTTATATAATTTCTTTTTACACTTTCACTATAAAACCATGCGGGTTGTTATTATATTAATAATTAAATAGGAATTCTAGTTAAAGGAATAAATTAATTAATGATAAATGAAATACAGAAGTAAATGAAGAAATGGATTCCTATTTAAAAATAGAGGCAATTCACCCGCATGATGTTATGATATTTAAATTATACAGGAAAACATAGGAAACTAGTATATAGGGAAATTGCATGAATTGCTGTCAAGCTAAAAATAAATCTAGCGAACTGCTTTCGTTAAATAAGCAAAAAATGATAAAACGGTAACTTAAAATGCTAATTTAATTAATGGAAATGTAATCTTTAATTACGAAGTTAATAGTGACTAGCACTTAACATCTGTATTAAAATAAATCATTCACTCGACAATAAAAAATCAATACCCAATTTTTCAATCTTGTCAGAATATTTTTTGAAATCATTTTTCATTTCTCACAAAAAGGTAACAGCACAGCCTTGTTAAATTTTCTTGTCACAATATATTAACATATTACGATTATTTACAATCATTCTTTGGAATATTTTACACAAATTGTAAGTTAAAAAAGGTAAATACGAATGAAATTTCATTGTATTACGTCTGTTGTTGAATTATTTATAAATGTCGAAAGTCACAAACAAATAAAATTACAAATAAACGAAGAATAATACAATTAAACTTGTTTCTAGATTATTCAATTCCTTGGCTTTGTAAAATAAAAACAACTCGCTAAACAATAGAATCATTTATAATCAGCTTAGGTGCTTTTTGGTGTAAAAGTCAACAATTTAAATTAATCTCTTTGATAAGAATATTGTACTGATAAGTAAAAGTTCTATTTATTGCATTAAAAACTTTACTTCCTTTAAAAAACTAATCAAGCTTCAAGCCATGGCAAGTATTAATGATTCCAATTGAAATATTATAGCTACTATGCGTGCGCAATAACATGTTATTTGCATTAATGGCAACACAACCGGATAAAGAGTCTCCTCGTAAGTTGTTGGTTGGTTAGAAAAATAAATAATATATTGATATAATCTCTTTAAAACATACAAGTTGTAAACAGAATCGGGTGTCATGTTATTGTGCTCGAGTAATATTTAATATCAAATATCTCGTAATTTTTTCACAAATAATAATTATATAAAGCCAAACATTTCTAAACATATTAAACTATTGAAAAAAGTAAAGCATCTTAGCTTTATTAGAAAATAATATTCTTTTGAGCAAGTATTTGTTTTTTTTTTTTTTTTGAAAATTTGCATACAAAATCTGTGATGACTTTAATTCTTGCGTTAAAAAAATATTATCTAACTAAATTTGAGATCTTACAAAATCGATTACAATAATATTGAAATTAAATATAAATGTCCATTCCGTTCTGAAATGTAATCATTACAGTCAGTCTCTCTAGAACACACACGTTCCTTTCACGTTTCGTATCATTTCGCCTCAATATTTCAAATATTGGAGATAATAACCTCCAAAGGTTACCATACATTTGATTTACTTTAAGTCAAAACTGTTAAAATCGTCAACATTTTTAAAAATTTAACTACTAAGGAAACCGCCGAAAAACTCCAATACTGACTTACAAGCTCTGCTTTTTAAGTTGATTGTATGTTCCTACAAGGATCTTATGGCAGTTATTTGACATTGACATAGAGGGCTGCTATTACTTTTTAGAGTTACCAGTAAGCAAAAATTCCCAACTTTTCTTGACACTCTCCTATGTTGGAACAAAATCAAACTTTTCAATTTAGAAATTATTAAAATGGCAACACTCTCGTGCCGCACCCTCATTAGTGACAATTTGGTGTTTTCAAGATGACATTGTTAGTTCACCAAATTGCTGCCATATGTTGTTTGTAGGTGTATAGTTACCCCTTAAATGCATGATTTTTTCTTTTTAAATACCTTATATAGTATCAGGTAGTATATTGAACGTAGATCAAGAGAAAAATAGAGATTTTTTTTAAATAGTCTATTGGGTGTGGAATAGAAGGCTGATGTATGCATTTAAGGGTTAATTTGTTTCGTGTTGTGGGTTAAGCAGTCTGTAGAGGTGCGAGGTGGGGTCCGCGAGCGCGTCGTTGGGCTCTCGCAGCTCGAGCGCGCGGCCGGCCGCCATGACGAGCGCCCGGTCGCACTGCATCACGCCGGCCGCGCGGTGCGCCACGTACACCACCGTGCTGCCCGCGAACGAACACCTCAGCGTCTGCAGTATCACGCGCTCCGCCTCCTCGTCCAGGTTCGCCGTCGCCTCGTCTACCAGCAACACCTGCAAACATATATGAAAAATCCTGTAGTCGTTACTGTAAATGTATTCATATATGTTATCTGTTTAGTCTAAGTAAGTAACAATGATTGAAAAATTAAATTTGAAACTCGACTTTCCCCAAATTATACAATGATGTATCAATATTAGTGGTTGTTTTAAATTAACCCCTATCGTGTCAAGATTGCTTTTGTAAACAGCAAAATCATAGGTAGTAATCTAGTATATATGGGGTACTTGCATTTGTTTTTCTTATTTCTGCGCGGACGGAGTCGCGGGCGAAAGCCAGTACAAAATGAATATAAAGTGTTAAAGGACACTGTTACCTTAGAGCGCTGCAGCAACGCGCGCGCGAGGCAGAGCAGCTGCGCGTGTCCGCGTGCGAGGTGCGCTGCGGGCGCGTGCAGACCGCCGCGCGCCTCCACTGCGTCGCTCGCGCCGCACGCCGCCAGCGCGCGCGACACCTCCACCTCGCCGTGCTGCCGCAGCGGGTCCACGTTCTCCAGCACGCTGCCCGAAAAGATGAACGGCTCCTGCGGTATCACGCCCAGCCGTGACCTGAACACAAACATCGTGTTTTTCATTAATAACTAGCTTTCGCCCGCGACTCAGTCTGCAAACAATGAAAATAAAACTAATGCAAGTAGCCTATGTGTTTTTCCAGACTATCCTCTACATCGATATCACATTTCATCGACATCCGTTCAGCAATTTAGGCTACAAACTCTAACAAAAATTCATGCATCCATCCATCCATCTAAACTTTTGCATTTATAATATTAGTATAAAGTATGATTGTAACGTAACTTTCACATAAAGATAATATAATTTTAGGTAAAGACACTTTTTTAAATTTTAGTAACTTGTGTACATGTACGGTTTCAAAGAATAAATAAAAACTCGGCTCGTAATCGTCTGTAGACCTCAGTCATTAAATACATATTTTTGATGAATATGTGGATACGTATTTGAAAACCGGAAGCGTGTCCAAGTTTCGTAAGTGCAGTACCTGAGCGCGTGCAGATGCAGCGTGGCGACGTCGACGCCGTCGAGCAGCACGCGGCCGGCGGCGGGCGCGGCGAGGCGCAGCAGCGCGCGCAGCAGCGAGCTCTTGCCGGCGCCCGTGCGGCCCACCACCGCCAGCCGCTCGCCCGGCCGGCTGGCGAACCGCAGCCCGCTCAGCGCCGCGCTCCGCTGCCCGCTAACACACCGCTTGCATTACCCCGCCTCTCATCACTTACACAACACCCCGCACTTCATACATGTACATATGTCATCTGGGTTCTTAAAACATTGTAGCACCAGTACTTTTCACTTACGTGTAATTAAGATAGACATCTTCGAAGCTGATAACACCGTGCGAGGGCCAGCCGTACGGCGGCGGGTCTCCGTCTATCTTCTCACTTTCCACCTAAATGCAATTTATTATTGTTGCAAACTTATATCTAGACTAGGATTATAAAGAGGAAATATTTGTATTTTTGTATGTGTTGAAATAACTCGATAACTACAGGGCCGATTTCAAAAATCCTTTCACCTTTAAATAGCAACGTTATCAACGATTAACATAGGCTATATTTTGAATTATATTTTATTTTTACGAGGATGAAGTCGCAAGCAACAGCTAGTTTACAATAAAAAGGTGAATGGTAAGATCAGCATTGATTTGTACCTGCGTGATGTACTCGCCCACGCGCTCCACGGAGATCATCTCGCGCTCGGTCTCTGTGAATGAGTTGAGCACGCTGCTCAGCACAGAGGTCAGCGACAGCGCGTACGATATCGCCAGACCAACAAGACCTGCACACAATGTTAAATTTAAAATTCTCATATCTATGACCACGTTTGGTTAACGGTTGACATTCCGACCAGACTCCGTAGATTAAGTTCGATTACCAATATCGTTCGAAAAATTAAAAACTTGTAGAACTGACAATAATTTTCGATAAGTCACAAGAAGCAATATCACTAATTGAAACTCTATGGAGGGAATATTTACTTTGGCAATGATGTACTAATTTCTATACGAGGTGGTATGGGTGACAGAGTGCAGTACCGGGGTCCGCGGCGTGCGTGGCGCGCTGCAGCACTGCGACGAGCGCGGCGGCGGCGACGGCGGCGGCGGCGGCCGCCTGCAGCCGCAGCGCCAGCCACTGCGCCGCCGCCGCGCCGCACAGCGCCGCGCGCTGCCACCCTTCGCACTCCGCCTCGCCGCGCTCGCCCCACCGCGCGCTAGCGCCTAGCGCGCGCACCACCGTCACACCTGCACAACACACGCTACTACAATAATAAATCAACTAATAAATTAAACACCAAATATTTACATACTCTGTCGACTTTTGGAAAAAATCAAGATGATAACATGCAAAACAAATTTACACTCCGGTAGCAAAAAATATGCACAAGATTGCTATATTCTCCAAGAATCGGTTTTTATACTTATACATTCAGATTATGTTGTGGTCAAGCATAAATACAAACAAAGCATCCAGGACGCTATAACCGACAGCTGGTGAAACTTCTGTTCCGCACAAAAAATGGAAACAATGTGAAAATAGTCAATGGTGTAAATGAGAGTTTCGGTTCACTATAAGAATATGGTCATTTTGCCCATATGTTCTAAACACATTATATATAATCGTTAGGGCACGTACCTTCCAGCGTGTCATTGAAGTGTACGTATACAGGGGAGAGCGCGACGCTCTGCAGCCGCTTGAGCTGGCGGGGGGTGGCGCGGTACCGGCGCTGCAGGCGGTGGTAGGCCAGCGCCAGCGGCAGCAGCGCCGCCGCCAGCCACGGCAGACCGTACACCGTCACCGCCACGCCCCCTGCACGCAACACACATTACTAACAAATACATATATTTAAAACTCTATCATACTAATATTATGAATGCGAAAGTTTAGATGGATGTTTGTTAGAGTTTGAAGCCTGAACTGCTGAACGGATTTCGATAAAATTTGGCATAGATGTAGAGGATAGTGTGGACGAACATTTAGGTTATTTACTTTTGTTTTTTAATTCCCCACGAACGGAATTGCGGGCGAAAGCTAGTATATAATAATTGTTAAACTGGTTTAAATTCGCAGTTCATTCGTTTTTTTACTCCTCATAAATATTTATTTCTAAACACAAACGTGTCTCACCGATTAAAGCGAAGACCTGAGCTAGTAGAATATTAAGTATGAACGGCAACGAGTCGTCGATTGTGTATGTGTCGGATGAGAACCTATTCATAATCCTGCCCGTCGGTGTTTCGTCGAAAAACTTCACTTTGGCCTAGAAAAATGTATGGAAATTAGATTTAAAATCTCCTATAAAACATTATCTTATACAGTATTACATTTTTCGGTTTATACAGTCAATATACTTGGCAAGCGATTTCCAATTTTCTTTTTAATTATTTCATTTCACATGTTATAGAAAAAGGGTAAAAAGACCAACTTACTCGCATAATAACATTCACAAGTATTCTATGTATCCTTCCGGCTGCCTTGACGCCTCCGTACGCGAAGAGAAACGCTCGCATCACAGTGAACAACAAATTCAGTCCGGCCAACACAAAATACATCTCCAAATAAAAATTATCATCATATCTTACTGTAAGTTGCAAATCTGGGATGTTGGGCGATTTAGTCACTATTTCATTATTATGAAAAACTGGTAGAGACCCATTTAGTATGCGATGTATAACATTATCCATAATATTGAATCCGTGGTCCATTACTGTTTGAGTTTCGTGCGGACTTTCCAATAACGTGTTTGAGTTGAGAGTGGTCGAGTTTGTAGCTCTGTTTTTGATCCAGAATGTTAGCCAGAGGAAGGTGTAGTTCTGTGAGAGTTGCATCAATATGAGCGATATGACAATGGACACTGAGAGGAACAGGCCAACTGATCGTAAATATAGACAGATCACCCACCAACCGACTGAACCTGTCGACATCGTTTCCTGTAAATAAATTGGTAAATGTTAATTTTAAAATAACAGCAAAGCCATTTCACAACTAAACATAGTCATTTAAAAAGTTAGGAATTTCACGATGTATTTACCTCATTGTCCAAACTTTGCCTGCTAATGTTGTCCAAAGACTCTTCGACGGTGTTATTTTCCCTTTCCGTGATGGGTTCCTCTCCTAATGAATCAGTATCGCTGGGGAGAAATTCCTCTATTTCATTTAAAACTAGTTCAGGAGGACCTGCAAAAAATTTTTTTTTTAAATCCAAAGAACGACTGCAGAATTTGTGGTTTACTTATTTTAGTGGCAATCGAGTAAGCGGCCACTTGAATCCGCCAAAATGATGAAGCAATCGCGGCACATAGACATTCGGAATATCGAATGTGTTGCCTACCCTTAATTGACGTTGGAGGTAACGCACATTAAGATGATATTTCACCTTTCTATGCGCCTCCTCCAGCGTCAAATCCACGTTCCCTTCCCATGGTTTCCTTATAAGAATAATGATGGGAAGGTAAAGTGCCTAAAGTTGGGCCTCCGGCACCATACCCATCAGGATGTGCGCATAATTGCCCCCAATTCACGCCTGTTTTCTGTGTGGTCGTGGTATTGCGTGTGGCGAGCCGGCCCATTCGTGCAAATATGTTGAAGCGGAGTCTACCACTTACACATTGGTAGAGCACGCTTTAAGATCGTGTGTTATTGCACTTTAAAGTACTAAAAGTAATGTGATGGCAGTGTAGCGTACCGTGCGCGATCAGTTTGCCGTCGTGCAGCAGTATGATGCGGTGCGCACGCGCCAGGTGGCGCGGCGAGTGCGCGACCAGCAGCCGCGTGCGGTGCCGCAGCGCGCCCAGCACGCAGCGCTGCATCAGCTGCGCCGCCACGCGCGCGTCCACGCCCGACAGCACGTCGTCCAGCAGGTACACTGCACGACACACGCACACCACCACTCTACATACCCTACACTCCTAATACTCTTACATTTTAATCTCTCTTTTCTAAGAAAGATGTATGACAAGTTCTACAAGTACACTGCATGGAAGATTTTCCTGAATGTCAAGACAAGACATAAATCATGACTAACTCTGATTCTAACAAGCAATTGGCTTAACAACGAATTAAAAATTCTCTAATATAAAGAAACAACGCCGTATTTTCAACTTTGTATTCTACAACTCATATAAATATAAAGATACCTTCTTTGTCCTGATAAACAGCCCGAGCTAAGGCAATGCGAGTACGCTGTCCTCCGCTCAGTGTGCACCCTCCCTCCCCCACGTAGGCATTCCACCCCAGAATGTTCAGATCCTCTGAAAAATTAATGCAGTTTAGATACATTTAAAGTTAACTTACATATTTACAAAAAAAAATGATCAGATTGACATACCTGTTAGTGCACAGGCGTCAACAACAGAACGAAACTTGGTCTCGTCGTATGGTTTGCCAAACAGTATATTGTCTCGTATTGTGCCGCGAATTAGCCACGATTGTTGGGATACATAGCCGAAACCTATTAAAACATAATGCTTTAAACCACGCCTTAGGCACTGTTTAAATAACCACGGAACAAAGCAACCGCATTCCAGCAGTCAGTGTAGCATAGTTTTTACTTACTATTTAAATTTTCAGGTATCTGCAGATCGCCGTGGAGTTTGATCATTTCCCCGAGCACGGCGTGCAGCAGCGACGTCTTGCCGCTGCCGACGTTGCCGGCGATGCCCACCAGCTCGCCGCGACCTATCTCCAACGATATATCTCTCAACACAAAGGGAACTTGCACTTGTGTATCCGAAGATGAAGTTGAATCTTGTATGTTCCGTTTCGATAACCTCTTCGTTGATTTGCCTTTATTTTTTTTACATTTCATCTGTGGCTTCGGATGAACTGCGGGTTTCGCCCACGAGAATGTTGCGTTCTTGAATATCAGGATTTTATCTTCGTCATGATTTGTGTTAACACGATCGTAGTAACGATCCGAGTCCATATCTGGAAGCTAAAAGAATACATTTCAGAACATGTTTTAAATGTTTAAAATGATATATGAAAGTTTGCTCACATCTAAGAATTTTTGTATCCGTTTTATGGACACCCATGCTTCAGTTAGTCCATTTAGCACCCAAGGGAACGCGTTCAATGGCGCTATCAGCATGTTGATCAATGCCACGGTAGTGAATACCTGAAATAAATTAACACAATTATTTAAAAAAAATGATAAAGTGGCAATCACTCACAAGACAAACTAACAAACTTTTAAATGTAATTCTCACACCTTAAGATGAGTGACATAAGAAAGGAAAGACAATAGATTAAACTATAATAATGATTACTCCCAACCGTCACCCCGCTCTGTCCCCACGTGAGAATAAAAAGTTTCATCTGTCTCACCTTTTAGTCACCACCAATAAGGTGACAGGTGGAACTGTTGTGAAATAAATTAAGTTTGAACCGTCCCGTCGTCGCAAAAGGTGAGACTGATGAAACTTTGTATTCTCATCTGTTCCCAAGTAGGGACAGAGCGGGTTGACGGTTGGGAATAATCCAGAATCAAGACCCCAAAAAACCTTTGTACATATATCTAACAAAGACCTTATTTTCCAGTAGAAACGCTTTAAGTTCAATAAATGTAAATACCGTGGGAGCATCTAGCGGCTGCGAGCGCAGCGCGTGCGTGCCGAGCGTGAACGCCGCCACCAGCACGGGCGTGGTGGCCCACAGCACCACGCACACCGCGTCCAGGTACTTGCGCCCGCGCAGGTAGCGCAGCTCCTTGCCTCTCACCTCTGAACGATTAAACATTATATTTGTATGTACAAACTTATAATTAAGATAATATCCAAACATTTTCAAATATTTTAAAAAGATGGAACGATAAAGTCATGGCGTATTTCGTTTAACAAAATGTTTTGATTTACGCGACTGTTTTGATGTTAACGTAAAAGGTTCTATTTTAGCAATAGGCATTGTAATTACTCAACCCAAAAAATACCGAGCAAAAGCTAAAAAAATGCATCTATCCGCACTTGTCGCCAGTGGGACATCAATCAAACAACTCGGTAGGCAACGGACTGATTTACTAAATTTAAGGTTACCCCAGTTGTGTAGCGGTAATACCTTATAGGTATATGTTTAATTTGGGTGGATGTATTCATGTCCTATCTACTAACGTCCATACTACTAACGTCATTTCTAATTACTTTAAAAGCAAAATGATAAATGGCGGCAAATGATATTACATGATATCACAATAATTAACTGTATTATCTTTTCCAGTAATCAAACAATTGATAAATAAATTTACATTAAAGCTATCTTACCTGCAACTCTATTTATAAAATAATCCTCCCAAACATGAATCTTTATTGTCCTGATACCTCTTAGTATGTCACTGATCAAACTAACTCTAGAGTCCTTATGACTCATTAGCTCTGTGCTAAGTTGTCCTATTTTGTTGGCAATGAGTTTGTTCACAGGTATAAGAAGAACGGAAAAAGCAACTCCGGCCAGAAATGAAACACCCACTTGTTGGTACAATAAAAACAGTGTTATAACCAACTGCAAAAAAAAAATATTTGAAATATCTATAAATATATACAAAATTTTATTTGAATATCTTTAAATAGTTTGATGTTAAAAATACAAACCTGTAAAGGTATACTCCAGAGTGCATGAAAACTTGGACATGAATTAACAATTCTGTCCGTGTCAGTTGACATGAAGTTTGTTATTTCACCAACAGAAAATGACTTTGTAAGTTCTGTTGAAGTCACACTTAGTGTCTTTCTTAGAATTATGGAAACCATAGCACCACGCATTTTTATTCCTATTAATGACATGAGCCAATTAAAATGAACATTGAATACTGCACTCACTACAGTTGCAATAAGGAGTCCACCGGCATATGCATATCTTGAAAAAAAAAAAGTATTAATGTATTTATATGATGATATAAATACAAATAAAAAAAAAACCTTTAATTCTAACCTACCCTAAATGTTGATCAATACTTTCATCTTCAACAAAAGTAACTAATTTATTTAACAACAAAGGCCCAGCAAAGCTGGCCATATCTGAAATAAGCTTTAATATTCCTATGCTGTAAAATTGTACAGCATAGCATGTGTGTAAAGCTCTAAGTAAAGATACATTCTGACGACGTTGTGGCCTCAATAACACTCTGGAAGTGGGAGTCACTGGAGTTGATACTTGAGGTTGACTCTCACTTAATGAGCCATATCCTGAAAAAAAAAATTTATATTCAAATAATTCAAATAAAAGTGACAGGTACAGGAAAAATACCAGAATATAAAGTTATTATTATTTTGTTTATTACTGTACATTGTTAAATATCTGCTTTATATCTATACTAATATTACAAAGAGGAAAGATTTGTATTTTTATATTTATTGTAATAACTAAAAACTTCTGGACCAATTTCAAAAATTCCTTTACTATTAAAAAGCCATGTTATCAGTAACATAGGCTACATTTTTTATTTTAATTTAATTTCATGCGGACAAAGTGTAAGCAACAGCTAGAATTCCATATACATTCTTTAAAAACAGAAGCCTAAAAACAAGATGTGGGGTGATATTGATGAACCTGATACTCAAACAACTCCTAAATTCAAAGCTCCAAGATTGCCAGTAGTTGCAAAATTAAATAACTAGTGGAAGAATAAAAAAAATACACATATCTTAGTGATATGAATCAGGATTCCCCTTTTACTGAGTCATGAGGAGGTTTAGATACAAACTAAATATGTAATGACATCATTGCCTAACATTTATAACACATATTTATTATTACAATTACTGTGTAATATTATATAAATTATATTCATACATATTGACATCTTACTAGCATATATCTTACTAATCTTAGTAGTATTATAAATGTGAAAGTTTAGATGGATGAATGGATAGATGTTTGATTGAGTTTGTATCCTAAACTGCATAATGGATTTCAACAAAACTTGGCATAGATGTAGAGCAATCTCATATAGCTAATATTTACTTTTGTTTTTTTAAATCCATGTGGACAGATTTGTCAGCAAAAGCTTGGTATTAATAAAAGTTAAAACTACTTTTGTTGCATAGCTTAATATGTGAATGATTCTTACCAGATCCTATGAATGGTTCATGAGGTATCTCAGCATACTGCTGATACTGGTCTACATTGCCTATCAATGCCTTGTCTAATTTAGCACCAACATATGAACATCTAAACTCTGTAGGTATGTCATATAATTCTTCTGAATCAGTTAATTTATTATCAAAGCCTGTAATGTATATCATCAGTTTAATTGGTTTATTTTGTTCAGAACAACACAATACAGATTTTTAATCATTACCTTTATCAAGAAGTGGATTTACCCACAGGAAAGTCAATTTAGAAAACCAACTTGTGCCTTGCATTGCTGTGCCTAAAATACCTTCATCCATATGTGGCAGTAAGGGGGTGTACTCACTCTAAAATAAACATATTATTCCTCAGATGCATTTTCTAAAAATTTTAAAAATTCTACACAATACTATATTTACACTTACACTTGAATGTTGGGATCCAACAAGATGAGGTGAATAAAATGTTGGTCTAGACTCACTTGATGGTAGAAGTGTGATAAAATACAATACATGGCAGCAAAGTGTTGCAATATCAAATCCCACAATGGATCCAGTGATTATACTTGTGCGAAGTGAAATAAAATTAAACACCACAATCATTATCCATAGAAGGATCAAGCTCAGTGGCCCGCGACTGCTCGGACCTAGTCTATGTTTGAGTGCCAGGATATATCCAAAGTGCACTAACCATGACAGACAGGATGCACCAGCAGTAAAGTAATCAACAGGAAACAGATTAAACTTATTGCTTGATATAAAAATGTATAATTCTATAATTGGAATGAAAGTAAGACCTAAAACAGCAAAACTTCGCAAGATAATGGCACGCTCTTGTGTTTTTTCACGAATAACCCATTCCCTTCTATAGCCAACATAATATCCCGAAATAATTGCTGTGATAAACATTACGGGTATCTGTAAACAAAGTTCCTGGAAGCACTTCCCAAAATCTTTCTTTTCGTCGATCCACGGCTGAAAACCCAGCGGTCCACACATATCTTTCCAGTTCCATTGTAATTTTGTAACGAGCTCCATTGCAATGTTGTAAGTGAACTTTTAACACATATCAATAGTTTCCTAGAATTGCACTCCAATCGACTATAAGGAAATTCATAACATAACATAAAGGAGTCAATTTAAATAAACTAAATTAATATCACTGTTAACACAATGTACACAATGTTTGACAAATACAAATGACATGACTCAAAACATGTCAGTCTAAAAGTCAAAATCAAGGATAAAATCATAAAATGTCAAAAACGCCGAGTGCGATAGACAAGATTTATTAAAAGCATCGATGTTTCATAACTTTTGAGTACTTTTTCTGTAAGTTATTATAATTTGAAATTGTAGAAGCATTCTCCAGTATTATGTTGTTGATTCCAATACGCCAATAAGGCCACTTCAATTTGATCCTGGTATTTTACTCCTGTTTAACATTCATTCATATACATCTACGCGCATATTTATTTAGCTTTCTGGCAGTTTCTAGTCTTTCCTCCCGTCGGGGTTTTGACCTACACAAATAACTATTCACTCCTTTCAGTGGACATTTTTATTCTCATAGTCTGTGGAACTAATATAATGTCAAAAATTAAAACGTCAAAGTCAAACCGATTTTCATTTGTCAACAAGTTCATATTTTTATTTACCAAGATATGGAAGTAAGCAATTGTGATTCAATTATTACTATTATAAATTACTTAGCTACAATTCTACAGATGTAGATGTACTTATTCCTTAGTTCCTTACTGTCTAAACATACAAGGAATTTGAAGTGAAAATATTAAGATAATGGAACAAGATAATCAAAGTACAATTTCTTCGGTTGAGGAGGATGAAGATCTAAACGACCCAATTCATGATATCATTGATTACTTGGTTAGGTGCGCAAATATATCATTTAAAAATTCGCATGTAGATGAAAGTGAGGTTAAAACATCTGAAAAGATTAAAGCAGCCTACAACATATTCCTTAAATCTCCTACAGAATTTTTAACTCAATTTGGCAAATATTTATCTCCAAACCATTTACCATACTTTGAGAACATGCTTAATGACATAAGTTTTAACAATGCAGCTTTTAATAATTGCATCAAACATTTACGTGTCTATCATTCTGAGAGAAGTAGACATAAAAGGATAAAGAATCGTCGATTCCGAGCCTTACAAAAAATGCAAAAGGAAGGTGATTATTTTAGTGAGAAACAAATGATGTTTCGAAATCCTCTTCTATATGAACAACTTGTTGGCCAGTATTTAGATGATGAAGAAGTACTACAACGAGATGCTGGGGACATTAAGGATTTGTCATTTTTAAATATAATTCTACGCACCGTAGAAATGAATGAAATGAATGAAACAAAACATCAGCAAATGTTGGAAGAAGACAAAGATTCAATGGAAGCAAAAGAAACTGTTGAAAAAAAACAGAAACCTAAAAAGAAGATGTGGGGTGATTTTGATGAACCTGATACTCAACCAACTCCTAAATTCAAAGCTCCAAGAGCAGATGCCCCAATAACTACCAATGAAAGAGCATTATTAAAAGAGGAATTTTACCAAGAAATGTACAGCAGTTTTCTTGAAGGCAGAGATGAAGATATTGATTACAATACAATAGATAATAATGAACAGTACGATGATTTGAAACAAATTTCTCAGGATGCCGAAGATCAATATTTTGATTCAGAACAAAATGAAGTTAATAATCTGGAAGAGCATATGAAACTTGTTGAAGAGTATGGTAAAAAAATGTCACTGGATCATACAAGTGATCCATTAGATGTGTTTATGAAACATATTGAAAACAAAATAAAACAATAATATGACATAATGTAATTTATTTTTACATCATTGCTATTATAGGCTAGAGAATATAGCTTGCAGTAGTACATATAGCTTGACAAATGTTAGTGGCAGATATTGGCAATTGCATGGCCAAATGAAAATAATTTAACACAGATATGCACATGTATTATACATCCTTATGCACTCCCTGTCTTTATGACAGAAGTTATCAATTCACTATTTCGGCGTATTCAGGTGGCCTCTTGCTTCTTTGCTACCTTATAACATCAATGTATAAAATGATTGTATGACATAAGGTAATCATAAGGTAGGTATAAAAAGTGTTGCGTCATTTTATAGCGTCGCATGCATACATGTCTCAGCTGCAGCCTTAACTTTCGTAGTCCTTCCATAACCAGCAATCATATCCTAAAAAACTAGTACGATTTTATCATTCCTATTTTCTTAGCGGAAAAGTCAAACAAAACAATTGTGCGTGAAGTGAAATTTCAATGTACGGATTCGAACCCACTACTTCGCAATGACTTCAAACTTAACCATTGCGCTATTGGTCAGTCTTTTTTATTCAATTATCGTGTTCTGTCTGTTATCAGTAGTGAAAGGACATTATTATTATCATGTTCTTTGTTTTCGTAGGGCTTTTCCTATTTAAACCTAAATCTTACTTATCTTTCTGAAAAGGTAGGGTAGGGATCTTCGATCATTTAAAATTAATAAAATCGGGAGGGTTATGGCCGTCAAAATAAACATTTTTACTAATGTAATTTGCTTGTTAGTACTTTTAGAATTACTTTCTTTTACCTTCGGTTTGCTATGTTACAATGGTACCTTATCTAATATACAATTTGGCGAAGACCCTTTATCGCGTAAGAATTTTATAAGTGATCGAAAGTTTGAAGCAAGAATTCGGTGTGCCTTAACTGTCCGATGCGCCGGTATATATTTTAGTTACCTTACACATTTTTTTGTGATAATTTTTGTACGTGTTCTATTTTTACCAAGCGTTTTAATGATTTTACATGTGCCTTTGTAGGTCGATAGGAAAATATACTTCAGTTCAAAAATCTAGTTAAACATATATGCTAATTTATATTCATATTTAGATTATATTAATTAGGATAGAAGCCCCATCTTCATTTTTAATATTAGTTAAATTATTTCACACTTTCTTTCTCCTATTTCAAAAGCTAAATAATTTAACAATTGTTCTGAGAGAAACTCGTACAGAAAGAATTATGAACCGTTTAATTCTATGAGATAGAGGAAGTAACAAAATAGAGTCATAGAGTAAATTGCACAATTGACAATATTGTCATGTCATCGCTAATGTTTTTGAAGTAAAACTGTATTTTTAAATGTTTATATTAGTTAACAAGTTCTTATTCATTTGCATATTAATTAACGTTAACGTAACCATTGTTAATGGTGTGATGTGCTTGAATTGTTCGTCTACCCACCGCAGTTGGACGCGCTGCGGGGACACGGTTGACAATGCTCTCGACTCTACTAAGACGATGTATAAAGATGTAGTAAATTGTACTGAAGGTTTATCAGCTTTTTATTGAAAGTCACGTCGAGCTTTAAATATATGTATTTGTGTAATGAAACATCTAGTTTTGAAATTAAAGGCGAAAAATCTTAAAAACTGATAATGTTTTAGAGAACGCATTGTGTTTCATTCGTTCGTGGAGAGCGCGAGCAAAACACGCATGGATTGTTCAACGAGGCTGTTACGAGCTTACTGCGCAAGATACGCCGCCTATAAGTTTGTCTGAAGCAAGAAAAATGTCTTGCAAACGACAAAGGTAAATAATAATAATAATAATAAATAAGTAATATCTGGCGACAAAATTTATATTATCAGGTCTCACTCTATTTATATTCCTGAAATCATTTAAAAGTATAAAAATCTTTAGGCTTACTGTTTGATATATTTCAGACTTCCTGATGCGGAGTACAAGTTATGTTTCTGCCAAGGAGATCAATGTAATCGGAGTTATGAACTTTGTTACAATCAAATGCAGCTTTTTGTGCTGTTAATAATTTCTTTATTTTTAAACTTCGATATGTAAACTGCAATTAAAATGGCCAATCGTTGTATTTGTTCTTGACGCGTCAATTGTTCGATTCGTTTGGACGGTGTGGTTAGCAATAAACATTGACTTTATCGGTTTATAAGCAGCTTTCACTTTATCCGAGCTGCCTGTCTATTTCAACGAAAAGGACGGTAAGAAAAGTGTGTGTTAGTGGGCCGCGTCCGTTGACTTGCACACATACTTTTTGTAGACACGCATCAATGTAACTAAACCTACATAATTAGAAAAATACACAATTTTCTTTTCTTGTAATTCAATTATATTGGTAAAATAGGCAAATAAAACATCTCAAAAGGTATGAATTGTAAATAAATGACTTTATTTTATTAAATTATATTTATACAAAACAATTTGATAAAATACTTTTAAGAAAATATCATTAACAACAAAAATTACATACAAGATTAAAATATGTTCATTTTTGAGTTCCTACACTATATTTAGATTACAAATAGCATTTCTAAGGCACTTGGTTTATCCTTTTTATCTGCATACATATGTATGTATTAAAATTTGAACCAATTTAAAACTTTTTCAAAGTAATCCACAAAATATTTAACTATAGGTATTTACTTGACTAGGTTAATAAATTAAAATGCCAAAAGCCTAATTTAATCCTTCGAAAACTTTTATTTTGTACACGTTTTAGTACACTATGAATATTTGTAATATATGAAGTATTCAATATTTTATGTAAAAGCATTTTATGTAAAAGCGCCTACAATTTTGAAATCTATAAAATGTACAAAACTCACCGTTAACAATTTATCAGTCTTTTAAAATTCCACAAAATCAACCAGTTAGCATTCATATTCATGTCATCATCATTATTTTTGCAATGAAAATACGAGCTTTTATCTCAATTAAAGTAAACTGAGATATTGTAAATCGCTGAGACAAAAGACTAGTCCTTTACAATTTTTTTTACAAACTTTTCTAACGTTTTAAATCGAAAACCAAAATCATATGTCGGTAATCAAATCTTGCATAAGACTTAAAAGACTTCGCAGACTTGTTTCACAAATATAAGTAGTGCCTATTAACGCAAAAGGGTCTTAAAATCCATATAGTTAATTGTATCACTGAATTATCGGCATTTATTATGCACTATTATGGGTGCAAATTTCGTCAGTTATTTAGCACTGGTTACCGGCAAAGTTAATGTAAACTCCGCAATTAAGGAGCTGTCGTGTAAAAGAAATGCAAATGGGGTAACTAAAATTTTTGTAAAGGTCTTTTGGTTTTGTGCTATGATTACCACTTAGCCAGTATCGTTATTTACCTATCTTCAGCGTCTTCTTCGTCAGAATCATCGTCTTCATCTTCTGTATCATTTTGTGCACTTAGATTCTCATTCTTTTGTTTATTTAAAAAGTCTTCAAAGTACTCCTCGATGGATTCGTTAGTGAAATTTAATATATCTTGAAATTGGATTTGACGCTTCTCTCTCTTAGTTTTATTTTTTAATCCGTAGTCATTTTCATCGCTGTCTACAATTCCTTTTTTGTATAATTCAACGGGTACCTTGCTTCCGTCACTTACATCGTATTTAATGCCTACATCGGTCTCTTGGATTTCTATAGATCCCAAACCGTTATCAATTAAAGATTTTAAATCCTGTGCCTTACCAGTTCGTGTCGCGTTGTATTTGTCTAATTTTTTTGGACGTTTTTCTTTTAATGGATGTAAGTGTTTAACTTCATTGGTTTCTCTGTGTTTACTAATGTCGTTTTGTGAAGTTTCGTGCAAGTTGTTTTTTGCTTTGGAACTGTATGTTTTGACTTTCGAATGTCCTTGTATAATTAAATACATGGGTACTGTTGGGACTTCTGTAGAATGTTTAGTTTCTTGCGAGACGGTAGCTTGTGTTGTAGATGTAGTCATAGGTGTAGTGAAACGCATATGTAAATAGGGATCGTGGGTGTGGATTTTTTGTGGATGGGATGGTTTTGCATGAAGCAAATTGTTCAGGACGTGAGGATTAACGTGGTAAGGATGTTTATCTGTTACCTTAGTACTGTCCGAATATTTAGCAGGCGCAGGCGGCTGCATACTCTGCATCAAATCTAATTTTGCGCTATCTTCTGTTGTATGTTCTTTAAAAACATGAATGTTTTCTGAAGCGTGAGCATATAAGTTGTCTTCTGCTCTATCTGGATCTGTTGCTAGTGGCATTGACATCATTGGGGATAGCATGGCAAAAAGTGTTGGTTGTGGTTTTGGCGGTATAGTTATTGCAGTGGGTAATTCATTTGTTGTTTTGTATACCGTTGAAGCTTCTTCATATATATTTTCAGTTTCTGTGCTAACTTCATATGTGGTATCGGTAGACGGCCATGCGACTTGTGTACTGCTCGGTGTGGATTCTACGGGCGGTAGAGCAGTAGGTATAAATGTTGTTATAAGGTTTTGAAGAGGTACCGGTTGAGGTTTGGGTGACACAGACAATGATGGTTTATAAAACAAGTATGGTTTCGATGCCTCTATGTTATGATCATTTGAAATAAAATTATGTGTGTCGTTAATAATATCGTTATCGTCGAAAGGTGTGGTCGGTCCCCATCCGGCGTAGTCGCTAGTTACCGGGGTGTTCGGTAGAGCTTTAGTTTGATTTAAATCCACAAACCAATTCTGACTTGTAGTCGAAGATTGATATATTAAATTAGCTTCTTGCACGGCGAATGATGACAAATGGTCAGGGGTTACCGTGGAGGGTCTCTTAATTATCATCGTTCTATCAGGTTGCTTGGGCGACGAAACGAGACCAGACAAGTTTTCCTCGTGAATTACGTACATCGAAGGCTGGTGCCCGGGCGGGGGCGGAGGCGGAGGTACAAGTATTGTCATAGGATAATATTCACTGTACTTGTACGTGTAATCCTCAAATTTGGGAGGGGGAGGAGGTGGGGGCGGTCGATGTGTCCTCTTCGGAGGCGGGGGAGGCTGGTGGGGGGCTACGCTCGGTTTACGTGATGACACACCCAGCACCAAAACTTCAGATTTCCTTTCAGGAATCCGTTCACGTTCCACGCGAGGTTCATCGGCCCAATAGTGAACTCGCTCTAGTACAGGTGGTTCGTAGTCGTACGTAGGATCGTTTCGAAGTGGATCACCGCGTCCAGTTAGAGGTTTCCATTGAGCAAAGTCCATTCGGGGTGAAAAATTTGTACTAAACCCACTAGGGTTGGAACTGCCTATTATATCTGGAAAATAAAAGAAACAAAAATAAATGATATACAACAAATATTTACTACACATAATTACTTTAAAGGACATGTAAGAAAATGTACAAAATACATACGAGATAAGTTGGTAGCATGTTGCAAGCTGGCGACCGGACCGTGGCTTGCCTTAGCTCTATTGTATAACGCTACAAAAATCAATCCGATGCGTACCTGTAAATAATTTCGTACCTTTAATAACAGCCAAGAATGAAAAGTAAATGATGACAGAATTTCTCCATTATAAAGAAAACATTCACATTTGTAACTGTAATGTTGGTAGCTAAAAGAACTACTACTTAAGTAATTAACTATGCTAAGGTTAAGTTACTTATAACTCATTATTAATAAATAATCAAGTTTGTAGTTAAGGTTCGGGTACGGCGGTGAATTTTGTGCAATTAGTGCGGTCCGGAGCCAGGACGGTGACTGTGGTGAGATGTCACAATTTTTTTGGGCAAGTAAGCGCTCGTTAAAATACCACGAGGCCTGGCGGCGCGGCGCGGCAGTGCCGGGATGAAAGACGAGCTCATTTGATATTGTAGCCATCCTCCTTATTTACGTATACGAAATACAATGACCCTTTTTGCTCGTTATGGCAAGGTGTAGATTTTAATGGTTGAAAATCTGTGTTAACGAGCGAAGGACTTTCCGCGAAACTTAATTCGATTCTTTGTTTCTTGCAATTTATCTTGAAAGTAATTTTAATAATCTCTTTGTAATTAACGGTTACTTTTTTTTTACAAAATTATATTACTTTCACCGTTAATTTCCGTGGAGGTTTAAAAATGGACTATGGGTATTTTGAAATATCTGGGTCGTTTGTGTCAATAATTGCAAAAGCCTAGGGTAAAGCATCAGGATACGGCGAGGCGCGGGGCAGTGAAAGCGGTGCGTGCGCGTGCTATGAATCACAATTCAGGCGCTACCTGATAAGAATGAATCAATTGCGTTTTGCATCTAATTCGCCCTCTTGGTGTCGTCCTTTCACTCTTATATCATTCACATTACATGAAGTTTTAAAAAGTAAACTTTACATTCTCAGGCCTTTTTAATATTCCACTAAATACAGAGCACAGGAATGCGATTCATGAACTACAAAGGATATAACACTTTATTTATCTAGTGATTTGACTCAGACTTACATTTAACATTTTATTTTTGAATACACAAGTTTCGTGTATTTTTACACGAAATCGAATTCGATTTCTATTTTTTAATAGAAATCGAAGTAATACCAGCAAATTGGCGAAGACAAGAAAAAAAAATAGATTGCTTTTACTCTACTTTGATTTAAATTTGAAAATTTGTAGTGCAATTACGATTGTTTTTACTCATTTTTCGATGTAGAATATGTGCAATGCAATTCAGAAATAACATGTCACTCGAAGTGACAAAATCTGTGGGAGCATTTATTAATTCAACATGTTAAATGTATCTTTTTGAACCAATCGTTTAATGTAACATAAACTTGTATTTATTTAAACCGCAGATGTACGAGTATGTATGAACTGCGATGAATGTAACACGTGTGAAAGAGGCCTTTTTTTATTTAAAAGGTAATCTCTATTTATAGATTTTTATACATCAATATAAAAAGCATGCGACCTTGACGACACTATCTTCAATTTCACATTTGGCAAACATTTGTACGCAGCTACAACGACTTTCCTTTTCTATGTTTATAAGTTTGTGGTTAACCCGTCCTCTAGTTTTACTTGCTTATTGAAAATTATATACTGACCATGAGATGTGTGCGCTAGTGAAAATAACACAAGAATGCAGCGCTCTGTTTTGATGCCAGTGCTTTGGGTTACGATGGTCAGTAGGTGCGTACTTAGTATTCTTACCAAACTACTGCACGAAGAAACAATACTATTTAAAACAAAGTTATGTACCATTGTTCAGCCTGCTACAATAGTGTTTCTCTTTAATAAATAAACTCGATAACTTAGTTGTTAGCTGTTACTAAGTATTAGTTATCTTACTAATATCGTAATGTTATAACTCCATGTCTATCTAACCATAGACCATGCAATTTGAGTTTAAAATGATTATAACGACGTTTAACAATCTCACAAATTGAGACGGATATTAACAATAACAATAACAACACTTAAAGTTGTTATTCTGTTCAGCTAAACAATAAAGCTTAAAGCTTTAACAGCCATTCAGACATTTGTTTTTTTATAAAAATATAGTCACTAATCATTAGCACCCAAATTGTTTATTGATTTACTGCCTCTTAATAATGTTAGCAAAACCCTTTTCTTCGCCTATTCAAGAAAAAAATAAGTCAAAGCTATAAATAATTACGTACTTCCAAAAGAAGTCTTTTAGACAACTGTCTTATTGCTCAAGTGAAAGTTCCTATAGCGTTTATTTGTGAATGATCAAATTAAAAAACTGAAGAGGCTACGGCGCGTGGGAACCGAGTTGACGTATAAAAGCAAAAGATTGTTACTCTATGGTTTTACACGAATATGATGCGTTATGTATGCGGACACCGGTCGCGCCCAGACTGATTGGCGCCACAGGCTATTTAACGCCCACGAATGGCTCAGCGGCGGAAAAATATCAATACAGTGTCATTTCGCATAAAACTTATGTTGGACTGTATATTTAAAATATGCAACGCCGTACCTTATCGAAAACTTTCATTTCTTATTATGATCAAAAGCTTGCCGAAAGGAAATCAATTTCTAACGAGCTCATTTAGCATGATAAATTCATTAGTTATTTAATAGGTTATAACTGACGTACGGTGATTGATCTTGAATTATTTCCCTGCTCTCGATCATCTAGGTAAAATATAAAAACTGTGTTCTCCAGCTTATAATATCTTCGATCTCGATTATTTCCCAGAAAAACATAATTCTGTCATTTAGTTACTTAATTTTAATTCTTTCAGTCACTATTAATATGTGATCTCTATTTACATTATAGATACAATTTAATACATCCATGTTGCAGACAAAATATTTGAAAAACATAAATGTAACTACCGTGAACGTGTTATGTTTATTACGAAATAATAATAATTTTATGGTAAACATAATTTATTATTTAATTACTATGTTATAAATTACAATGTAAACATGAAATATAAACATCTGTCTCTAATGCAATAATATTTCACTTTGACAACAATAGCTTATTGTATTCATTGAGTCGATGACCTAATAAAACCAAATCCAATCGGTTAATCCGAATTAAAAACGAGGATACAAATTGTCTGATATGTTGTCTTGTTAAAAATTAGACACTTCCAGTAGAATAGTCGTGTGGGTGCGCAAGGAAAGAAATATTAACACTTTCACAAGTTTTATGTGTCGATGACCAGTCGGCAATCGGCACCACGGTAAAGACGAGCCCACGCAAACTTCTTCGGAATCGCCACTATTTATTACAACGATTTCCATAGATTTTCGAGACAAATTAATGTCTTTGCCCGCTAATTTAACAATACAATCTATCTTTCTTCTGTAACATGTACGATATGATCAACATATTTGGAGAAATAAATGAATATCATTGTCTCCATGTTATCAACTACTATGACTAGGTATACTTAAAACCTCCCACGTTAAGTCTTTGATTAATTTCCGTCATATATTATTTCACTAAGCAAACATTGTTAAATTTTTAAGTTTTCAATTTAGTGTGAAAAAGAATAACAGTTTATTAGATTTTTGGTGCAAATAAGCCATAAAGGATGAAATCATTAGGATACTACCAAATAATCTATTTATTTTTTACCCCGCATACTTAAATATGGCTTAATTAATTATTTTACGGCTATTACTCACGTCTATTTTTTCGTTGGCGGCACACAAAAAAAAGACGAGAGTAATAGCCGTAAAATAATTAGTTATTATAATGTCTAATGAAAGTTTAAATAATTTAATTAAATATGCCTTGTTAGATTCTTCGACTAAGATTTAAGTTATAAATTATGAATGAATATTATGAATCTGTATTTATACTATTAATAACATATAAAATAGTAAGTTATTATTTCTTTGTCTTATAACTTCATTTGCGCTACAGTTGCAACTATAACAAGCCTCGACATGCAACACTTTATTACCGATAAAATTAATAAAAACAAATTATTTGTACTTTCTTATGATCTATTCCATAATATACTATTACGTACTTTACTGTAACGATACCAAAATTTCACTGCCTCTTAAAAATTACTAACCAAAACTAATCGATTACATGTTTCCGGAATGTAAAACCATGCGAGTAACACTCACCGATGTAAATAGTCTAGATGCGGTTTAGTTTCTTTCGTAAGATATAAACACAGTTAAAAGAAAGGTAGTGACTGAGGTACGAGTATAACTACAGTTCAAAAAACTGGGTTTAGAGTCAGAGACTTGAAAACCTATGCAAAGAGATTAACTAAAAATGATTTATTTAAATTCATCTTCTAAAAACTAGGGATTAGGAGTTTTAATGTAGAATTATTTTCCTGCATGAATGAAAATTATATAATTAATAACCTAATTGGAGTCTGATAACATATCCTCCGCGGAGACGAAGTCGCGCTCGCCAGTTAATCGAATTTAAAAGACGACAAGGAATATAAAAGAAAAAATCAGTAAATGTTTGCAAATTATCTTTAGATGCGTTATCAACATAAAGTCTTAATTAAAATTGTACATTACTGATTTTTCTAAAATATTTAAATTCATGCATTTCAATTCATCGATAGTTTTAGGGCGTTGCATTATTAAAACTCTCATATCTATATGATTGCAATGTAGCGACTAAACAATTAAAATATTGATTTATTTATTTGGAGAATTATGAAAGAATGACAAATTATTAATAGCGTCTAATTTGCCGCATATATAAAATTCGCCGCAACGCGCTGTCCGTCGTGTCGTCATACATATTCTTTGAACAGTCTCCCCTATTGTGAGTCTGTAATAACAAGCGGTTTTGCTCACATCGTTTGTATTGGCATAGATCGCAAATTGTAAACAATATTATAAACGGTCTCCGTACAGCTTGGACAATGACGTAGGGATTTTCTCGATTGTTATCTAATCCACAAAACAATGTTTTTCATATTTAAATTTTACTCAAAAATGTCTACGTTTGTGATAACGCGTTGATGTCTTTTTAAAGTAAACATTATACTCGTACGTCAAAATTATAACTTAAGTTACATTTATTAATAACTGGTGGCCAGTTAATGTATTGAGATAGTTAAATTTTAATTTATTGATCTTTTAAACGGTTTCATTTTATTACCAAAATAATAAATAAATACACGTATAACAATGATTACAACTAAAAAAAATCATACATTTTTTTTTCTTAACACAAAAAAATTCTGGCCAATTTGTAATTAAAAAAAATTGAAACTTACCCAGAACATTTTTAATTCAGTTGTTTAATTCGCAACAATTCCATACGCACATTGGGACGCAGAGTATGCGGAGTAATCGCGTCGCCCGCACGGCGTCTACTGTACGTCTATCCCTATAGTAACTGGCTGGCTGGCTGACTCCCATAAAGCACGCACCAGCCGGCCACAGCCACCCAACTCGTTTGTTCACCATGCGTCGACGCACGTCAAGTGGCCCGACTGCCGGTTTCAACTTCAACGTATTCAATTCAAATTCACGTCACACAAAGTGTTATGTACGAGTCCCTAACTTTCCGACCAAGGAAAATCACATCAAAATTTAGTAATAAAAAAACATCAGTAACTTAAAATGCTAGTAAATGTGGATAAGTAGATAAACCGGTTAAAAGTAAAAAAAAACACGCGTTACAAAATTATAATAAAACAGTTATTTTGAAATACTGTATGTATGGTTGTAAAATATTTTTAATTCGGCAATTTCTATTACATTGTTTATTGTGTTATTATTGTTCATGCATATGATTATTTATACATTCGAGAAATTACAAACTTTTTACAATGCAACTTTAACTCCCTTTTATATTGTCAGTAGTATACATCCAGTTCTTTGGTTAGTTTCTAAGTTTTAAAAAGACACTTATGCCATAAGATTAATACAAGCGTCTGACAGGAAATAACTAAAGATATCGCAATGACTTACCATTGTTAATTAAATTTACATGTAAGATAGAGGTCAACTTTCCGAATTTCCTTTCTTTATATATATAATGTTTATGACTATAACTTCACCGCTACATTACTCGGTATTGTATGTAAATACAAGTCGAAGTTCACTTATACATTTGTCATAATTATCAACTGCGCGAACAAACCAGTTGCAGTACAACATATAGATTAATTTTAAAACAAGGAAAACTTTTACTAGCATCCTGTAATTTTTTTATTATATGCACATTCATATGAATACAAACACACAATACACGAAGTAGGTCATAACAAAATATTTATCTTTTTATGTATAACTTTCATCTTATTTTGTAACTATGTATTTTAAATTCCGCAAGACCATCGGTAAAAGAAGACACTGCCTCCTGAAACACAGTTATTACTAGCTCAGGTGACAGAGTCCCATAACTGTACTAAACTATTTTAGATCAATAAAGATCAAACAGACCGTATTAATGTTATTAAAATGTGGGTCTTGTTATGCATTTATAACTTATTCGAAATATTACACATTTGGAAAGCAAACCTTTTTAAAAATAAATCGGAGACCGTGATACGTGCGCTTAATTGCCCAATTGACGGCCACTTAAGGATTGATAATAATTAAGTAACAATACCTTAATAGTTTTCAATTGATTATATTCATATTTGTTGTTATATAATGCATAAGTTACGTACTTATATCAGATATTGTGCCGGATGTTACAACTTAAACTAATCGATTTAATTTTATAAAAGAAATTTCATTATTTTCATCACACATTTGCATTCTCAATATCTCCGATATCTTTTCAATTACTGATGATGTTAACTGCGCACGATATATTGTAATAAAAAGTCGATCTTGCAAAAATCTTACTTCTTACTAGTATTAAGAATGCAAAAGTTTAGATGAGGATGGATGTTTGTTGGAATTTGTGTCCTAAACGGCTGAGCGGATCTCGATGAAATTTAGCATAAATGTAGAGGATAGTCTGGAAGAACATCTACTTACTTTTCATTCTTAATTCCAAATGGACGGAATCGCGAGCAAAAGTTAGTGTATTTATAACCGTTAACGTCTATGTCTAACGCGTTAAAAATTACATTACGCTTAGCAAAATCTAAACAGTCCTAACATTATAACAATTAAATATTAAATCTTTCGATAAATTCCTTTGCTTGTCGCCTAACAATTTAAAATGGTTACAAAATGCTTACAAGAGATTGTCTATGGATACAAGTATGTTTGCAGTAACTAAACACCTTTGTCACAAATTACATTACCCATTAGCAAAATCATAACTTTGTTTACAATGTAAGTCTAACACTGAAGTTGGGACTATACTTACCTACGACAAATGCTTCGTAATTTCAGGTGTCGGAACATAATTAACAACTTAGCAAAATTGTAATCATTCACCAAATGGATTCTCATTAGGGAAAAGCCCTAGTGACGCAACTTCCGGACAATTTCTCCGACACAATGACACATTTTCGATCGTCATTCTCGGACCCGTAAGGCTTAGATCGCATTGCGCTTTTTTACAATACGATTTCATGGCGCCTACCACATAACGAGGTTAGTAAAACAACACCAATTTGTAAAAAAAACTACAAAACTAACACATAAAACACAGAAAAATACTGATGAAAAGATATCCTTCTTTTTAAATGTCAGTCAAAAAAGGATGTAGTAAATAATACATTGAATACAAATATATGAAAAGTTAAAGTTTGTAGAATGAGATTATCAAAACCCTATGTGCCCTGTCGATGTGTTTTCAGATCTTTGTATTAATGTGCGCTAATGTGTAGCGATGCTATGCACAAGTGGATCTCTGTCACACCACATCCCATGAGACCAAGAGGACGCAGTTTTATATGGAAATCTTATTTATATTATAAATGCAAAAGTTTAGATGAATGGATGGATGTTTCAGAGTTTGTAGCCGAAACGGCTGAAGAGATCTCGATGAAATTTAGCATGGATGTAAACGATAGTCCTGAAGAACACATAGGCTACTTGCTTTTGGTTTTTTTAATTTCGTGCGGACAGAGTCGCGGGCGAAAGCTGTAGACACATTGCATATGCATTCTTATACCTTTATGATTTAACAAATTTTTTAGACTTGCAATTTCAATCCTGACCATTGTAAACTATGAAATACAGATGGCGCTTTTCTTCGTGTTACCCAATTTTAGGCCGAAGATTGGTCTCTATTTCAGTATGTTACAAAGTACTCTGTGATCCTGACTCACAGTTAAACAAATAGCAATATTACTTGAGAGCAACGTGTTACATCTCAACTTGAACATATTAGGCGCTATCGTACTATACGTTAAAAGGTATATCTCAATTTTCAACTATTTATAATGTACAACTGTCCTAGGATCGAGCTGTAACCTTTTTTTACAATTTCGCGCAATATAGACTTGAAGAGAATCCTAAAAAAACTAGTGAAAAAACTACCTTTTTGAAATCCATCATAGTCCCTCTATAGGTTTTCATGAGAAATGTATATTTCCTAGTAAATTATTGGTATTGTCTGTGATTTACAAGTATGTTTTCCAATTGGTCAAAGTATTCGTCGCATCATCATCATACAATTTAGTTACGTAATGGTTCCATGTATTTTGTAAGTTTTTCGGTGTTTTATTTTATCATATCATCACCAGCTCGTTATAGGTCCCCACTGTAGGGGCTCGGAGCCTACCTTAAGTTAAGGAACATGATATATATGACAGTTTCATAGAAAACTGTAGACAATAAGAAGTAAAATAACAAACAATGCCTAATAAAAAGGACCGTGTTGTAAACTAGCTAATTACTGCTTACTCAATTGAATACATCTATACTATCTATATCTATACTATTATAATAAAGTGTAAACACACACTTCTTTGTTGCCTAAGATGTCAGCAATTACAGCATATTTTTAAATGATTCTTTTCTTAATAAAAAGCCCTACACTTACGACATGCTTTAGGCTATATATTTTTACGCCATTAAACTTAGTGGGTAAATATTTTGGATAAAAACCCTAATGTGGGAAAGAGACTATAAGTTGCTACCAACATCAAGAAAGAAAGATTGCTAAGGTATGTCATGTCATTTTGACATTTGCTATTGATAATTTGACAAATGTAAACAACAAAATAAAATTTTCATAATTTGATAACTTCAAACTTTTTTTTATATATTCACGGTTCCTAATGCCAAGTATCTGGTTTACCGTAATTTGAAAGGGTAAAAATTAAAAATCTATAACTGTGTAACCGGTATCGTTTATTCACAAGTCCTCTACTGTACCACAAATAATTACTACAACTATTACAACATACTACTTTAAGCTAAACAACCGAAACAGTGTACGATGATCCATTTATTACTTAAATATCGGGAATATATAATATATACATAAATTATTATCTACATATTTTTATATACTTTGCACAATGTACAATTTCCACCTACGAGACAATTCGTTCAGAAGTACATACACTAACTACACAGAAACACAATTATTATCAAAATTTAAAATAAACTCATACATCCAATACAATAAAATGATTTTAAATGCAAATGTGCCAACTCACAGAATAAATATCCGTGAACTTGATACTAGATACTTTAAAATATTGTGAGCGTGTAATTGGCAGCTTGATGTCATATATATTAAAAAAGAAAAGTTTGAGCTCATACGTGTATTAAAAACATACATTCGATGCACAATAAGTAATTCGTTATTTTTTTCTGGACTTTTCACCTCATGGGAATAATTCAACACAACTCTTCTGTAAAATATATAAAACACATTTTACTCAACTCTAATATTTCGTTAAATTTTGGTTTGTTTATCAATTCGTTGACATTAAACATGTATTATGAAGCATTTCTGGAATAATCAAAGCTATTCAAGTATGAATAAATTGTAGTTTCGATAGCTGTAAAAAAGAAATAAATTGCATCAGTACTAACATGTAAATCTTTATTTTATCACCAAGCTTTTACTACTCACACAAATTAAAACAATTGACCAATAAGTAAATAGCTCACATAGAATGTTAAGTTGGATTATTAAATTTACAAAAAAGTAGTACTTTTTCGCATTCACATAACTTTTACTACCAAAAAAATTAAAAAATTAAATTGCAGCCCTAACTGCTTTGGAATATTTTAATCAATATTAAAATGTACCATATATCTTAGAAATTGAATTTAAATGAAATGTTAGTTACTTGTACACAAAATTCAAGTACTAAGATTAAAATTTAGGCACTTTATAAAAAAAAAAGTAATTGTGTTCTTAATAAAAAACATACAGACGAATTGAGTACCTCCTTCTTTTGGGTATTCGGTCAAAAAACAAAACGTCGGAATCGGATAATGTACCAATAAGTCAATATTTTAAGATAATTTGTTCAGGTGTTTGCATATTGTGCTTCTATGTTTATACATTCTAAGAAAAAACAGGTACAATTCTAATAGTTGAATCGTCATACTACAATCACATATTTATGACACAAATAAATTGCAAAGACGGCGAGTTTGCGGCGCTAAACAACATGTCAAGAGAATAGCATTATTTTTTAGTCAATTTTATTCTGTCGCAATAAAATTACATGTATAAGACATTAACAATGACATCTTAACAAATTGTAGTCACACAACACAAGAATTAGAAGGCTATTGAATTTATAAAATTTGAATAAGGAATGCTAATTTTTTTTTTATTATTTTTATACTTTGTAATACTAAAAAGCTTGATATGAAGCTTCAAATTAGATTGAATATGGTAAACTCGGCATAAAGTTGCTACCAAACACTAATATTTTATTTCCTTCAATCAAAATTATCATTTATTGTATCTTTCTAGATATAAAAGAATTTAGAAAATGCATTATCCTAACTACAATTTGTACCACAATTGAATTAATTGATATTTTAATTCAATATAATTCTATGCACTAATATTTAATTTATGCTGGAAATACAATAGAATAATTTGATTAACAAGGTAAAATTTTACATTACAAACATCAACAGGAATTTAAAATTTCTCTTTCTAAATGGTCAAAATTATTAAATTAAAAAGTAATGTTATTCTCGTTACATTTTGTTTGTATGTATGATAGGTCTAGCTCACAGTCCAATCGAGACCCCAACGTTCGGACACTTTAAGTTGTGCAGCCGCAGCATCCTTTAGGGAGAATAAGTGTGTCATTTCCAATTCTGTCTTGGCCAGTGCGATTGCTTTCTCAAATAGTTCCAAAGATCTCCTCAGGTTTCCTCTGAAAAATATATATTTTTTTTTTAAGTGGGCAACACTAACCATTCCAACAATTTCAAATAACACCACTCAATATAGATAACATATAAAAGATAATAACACAGTTGAGTAAAGTACAGATAACTGTTATCTATGTAATAATCTCACAAATTTTAAACCAATTCAAAGAATTTGGCTTAAGTATGAAAAAAAATTATATAACCATCTTATTTTCTTACATTTTACAACATTGTCAACTGAAATAAATTGTTACCAACTAAGAGTTTCATACATTTAAAATAAATGTAGTTTTAATCTTAATTCTTTTTATATTAGTCTATTCCTTTGTGGAAACTGTTCAGTTTGTGTCAAAATACTACCATTTCTATAAAGGATGTCACTTTTTAACTTATTCCACTTAGACAAAATAGTTTTAAAAACATTTACAGTATGTTTCCCTTTTTCCATTTATCAAAGTAATAAAGCATACTCAAACTAAGAATATAAAAAATTAATTTGTTTTCATAACCTCCAGATATTTATATTATCTCTAAGTTAAAAATAGAATATCTTACCGTTGTACTTCTATTGTTCCTAAAGTTTCATACGCAAAGTCACATTTCTCATCCATTTCAATAGCTTTGTTAATTAACTTGACAGCTTTATCAAAATCTGTATTCTTTTGCAACTGGACCAGTCCCTTGTGAACATACAATGCAGCATTATCGGGGTCTACGGACAGAGCGGAGTCAAATAATGATTCTGCTCTGCCCCATTCTTGTTGGTCTGACAATACTTGGGCATAGAGGATATAAGCTTCTGCACATCTCGGGAACTTCTCTAAAGCCCTCTCGAAATCTGTGCGTACTTGATTAAGAGCACCAACATTTTTGTGTAATTGAGCAAGTCTGTAATCTGCATAACATTTCTGGATGTACGCTATAGAAAAGTTGGGGTTAAGTTCGACTGCTTTGGCAAATTCAGCTGTAGCTTCATCCATTCGTTCCAAGAGCAAGTATACTTGACCACGGTGATGATATATGTCAGAATTACTAGGGTCCAGTTTGGCAGCCTGTGCGAAGTCTTCCAGGCAACGCTCAGTATTCTCCAACTGAGTAAAGAGGGAGGCACGTTTAATTAAAGCATTAACTTTAACTTTCAAAGATGCATTACTGTCAACCACTTTAGCAAGATCAGCCTGTGCTTCATCATGTCTGCCAAGAAGCAAATAAAATGTTGCACGTAGCAACAAGGCCTCATATTTGTACTTTCCATCTGCTTCCAATTCTTCAGTACAAGCATCAACAACTGATTCATAATCTTGAGTCTCTAGAGCCTGTTTAGCTTTTGCAAAACCACCAGTAGCGTTATCATCTAATTGAAGTTTCGTAATGGGCTCCTCAGAGAAAGCAGAAAAATAAGTCTTTATAAAATGCTTTGATGGCATAACAGGCTGTCGTTTAGCAAGTGCCTCTCTAGCATGTTGTCTGCCTAATGCCTTTAAAATGCGATCTGCATTGACCAAAGAACTTTGTACTTGAAATCTTTCAAGGATACAAGCAGATGTTACATCTTCGAGGGCAAGAACTAAATCTCCACTTTTCTCAGCAGCACGAGATCGACGTAAAAATGCTTTAACATACTTTTCATTGAGTTTCAGGGCAAAAGTACAATCTTCCTTCACCTGTTCCCACATTTCGCGCTTCTCATAGCACGCAGAACGATTCTGGTAGAATGTTGCCAAGTCTACCGTATGGTCCGGAGGGCAAGCTTCGATTGCCTCGTTGTAAAGAGCGATAGCTTTATCAAATTCTCCTGCGTGGAAAGCTCGGTTCCCGGCACCCTTTAATTTCATTGCACGGTCTATAGCACTTTCTGCGGCTTTTGCATTGTTCTCTTCATTATCCAAAGATATTGTTGTTTTCGCCTTTAAGTCAGCCACCTTTTTCTTCTCCGGATCTTCCAGTCTGTTTCTTAGATACAAATAACCTAGGCCGATAGCCAAAGGCGCACCAAGAAGGATAGCCAACTGCCATTTAGGAAACGGGGTACTGCCGGTTGACGCCATATCCTCAGGAGAAGTTGAAACGATTAATGATTCACCATTTATTTTGACAATGCAGAATAAAAGAGATGTAAAACCTAAAATACAGTGCTTTTACAAAGGTATTAAAATACCTATTACACTTCCCATCATCTGACAATATTAGGGACAATGTTGCCATTCTTAAAAACCAAAGAATACACTTTTTTCCTTAACATTTATGAATTGTTGTCACTTCAAGATAGTGATAAAGGCTTTATTATTTTTGGCACTACCCATTAGATTTGAATATCACCAGAAACTGCAGATATCGCTGCTGGCTCTGCTATCTGCATGCTATCTGCTGTTCCTCTAAACCGACTGTTTGACGAATGGCAACTTCGTCAAATGTCACTAAGACAAGATCCTGTTTTTTTTTATTCGCGACAAATACAGAAGTAACCTATAAATGTGTTTTAATTAGGTTTTAATCGCGTTATAAATATATAAACGAAATGTTTTCCTCAAGAGTTTCATCTCTAGTATGTGTATAATTGCCTTTTGTAATTTAAAGATTGCAAATTCTATTAGATATTTATTTTTGTGACTAACATTTCTAATTTTTGTTACAGTGTAAAATAAACCATATATTAAAAACAAACAAGATTATTAGATCAACAGCAGTAATACAAAATCATCAAAAACGTTTCAAAACCGATTTGTATGAACCTGATTATCTAATAGTAAGTATGGAGGATATAGACTAAGAAATAAATTGCTAGGACTAAAACTTTTAATATGTAGCTTTCCATGCAACATATGTATTAATGTAATAAGGAACAACAATTTTGATTATTTCAGAGCATGGAACCAGATGAACCTGTGTATGACTGTTTGAATTTGCAGTTAAAAGGCTACGATTTTGCAGTGCTAGAAGCTTGCCAAGCTGAAATACATCGCATAGCTGATATAATGGGTGTACAAGTTGATGAATGGTATAAAGTTTTTCTATTTCTCAGACACACTTTTTTAGCAAATCAAAAACATGGAAATAATATTATAAAAGGTTTATAATAATTTTCAGATACATATAATCAAATAAAACTCACATAAGCCTCGTAGCTTAATAATTAATTGGTTTTTATTTTTTATTTGTGTTTATAGTTTCATTTTGTATCAGTTATACATGAAGAATTTTCAAAAACTCAGTTTTTGAAAGGTAAACAATGCATATCAAAAGTGCTGTCATTCATTGAAAAGCAAATTGGTGACATATGAAATAATATTTCATCTTTTCACCTGCAGTTGGGCGACACCAGCACAACAGTTGAAAGTGCAGCGATATAAACCTAAAGGCACTGTTGTAGACGCTGAGTACAACCTTAATGTCTATGAAAGAAATGTCCAGGTAATGTAAATGATACCTTTAGGAATAAAAGAAGAAAAAGTAGAAATAATTAGTCAACTCATAGTCGTTTTTCTACTTAATAATCCACTGGTATGATTCACCAATACTAATATTAAAAGTAGGAATCTTCGGATGGAAGGGTGTTTGTTTCTATATATCTCTAAAACACACATTCTTCTTACTGAGTATGTTTTTAATTCTGTATGAACAATATCGCATGGAAAAGGAATATGGAAATACAAAAGCAAAAGTCTTTTACACATTGTGTATTACGTTGTGTAGAAACTAGATGGCGCTGTTAACAAACAAAATAATAAAACTATATTAATTACAATCAAAACTAACTTTAGTGTTTAGGGAAAAAATCAGTTAAAAGGGTTGTTGGGCCGATCGGCCCGTTGAAAGGCTATTTTATTCTAAAGCAAATATGTGTCGAAAAGATTTAAGCTTTTGTATGTAATTTATCATTTACTTTAAAGTTTACTTGTAATTCCTTATTTGTTTACAGGTAGTAGACGTACCCGCGTGGGCGCTGGGCACTTTACTCAGGATATCAAGGGCGTATTTGCCAGAAGGCTGCACTTTAAATGTCCATGAACACACAGTAGATCACGAGGAAATTCGTTACGTACCAGACAATGAATTAATAGAACTTAAACAACAACTGGATGATATGGGCGGTAGCCGTCAAGACAATAAAAAGAAGAAATAAATTAGTTGCCATTATGTATAAGTAGTAAATAATACCAATAGTTTACATGTTTTATTATTCTGAACTGATAAAAATTAGCTGCTTCCTTAGGTCGTGCCTACCCCCTTTAGTTAACTCCATTCTTATCTCTTCAAACGATTGATAACTAAATGATTTGTCAGGCTTACGGTTTAATGACATTATTAGAATGAGTTTTAACAAAATAAAATTTAAAAAAAATATGAAGATTAAAAGCACTGTAAACCAAAAAAATCTTTTACAAATCTTCTAGTTCACAGGCATAAGTATATAGTTTACAAGGCTTACACACAAAAACCATTAGTCTAAGATTAAAGCATTGTGCAAAATGATAATAACATAGTAGCCGCGGCAATGGCGAACTTTAGAATGAATGTGTATCAACTGTGTACAGATTTCATCATTTTTAACGCGAGGCGAAACAAGATTTGAGCAACGATATGATATTCATGTAATAGTCTGTCTGTACACCTTTCCCGCCAATGAACGCCTGCACTTTTGCTTGCAACACAAAGTAAACGCGCAAAGCTAGTTACTTGAATTTGATTGCATTTTATAAAACAAATGAAACGATACTTTAGTGCTTTCCGTATTAAAATACCAGAGTTTTAAGATCGAGTAAAAAAGAAGCTCAAGATAAGGTTCTCACCAAGATACTGAAAACAATGGGCACACCCTTTATTTCCAGTATCTTGTTTGTAATTTTATTACAAGCAATTTCTTTGACTACATAAATTACGTATTGATAGTAGAAATATATATCAAACACAACCTGTATCACAGATGCTTTAGTCCTCATGGCTTCAACCAAACGCACCTGTTATGTGTGTGATTGTTCACATACGTTAATTACATATTTTGTATGCGAATCATTCCATACTAAATGGTCTTCCAAGAACATAAGGGCGA